TACAGCTTCCGGGTCATGTGGCCAGCATGACTAAGCCGCTTCTGGTGAACCAGAGCAGCGCACAGAAACGCCGTTTACCTTCCCGCCGGAGTGGTACCTATTTATCTACTTGCACTTTGACGTGTTTTCAAACTGCTAGGTTGGCAGGAGCAGGGACCGAGCAACAGGAGCTCACCCCGTTGCGGGGATTCGAACCGCCGACCTTCTGATCGGCAAGTCCTAGGCTCTGTGGTTTAACCCACAGTGCCACCTACTTAAAAAAAAAAAGTATTTTAAGAGTGCAATAAACATTATAAACAAAGTAATCAGAAAGGGAAACAGTCCATCTGGAACAGGCTCCAAGGTGACCTTTACCTGCCTCACTCCCTTTGGTTCCCCCCTAGAAAGTTGGAAGAAGGTTTCAGACTTTCTGAAATCAGGGACGGCATGTAAACAGAACCCAGTTTGGGAACTCGGCATTCATTCGTGGTGAGATCATGCGGCTTACAACACAACCCTAAATACAGTGGTACCTCGGGTTAAGAACTTAATTCGTTCTGAGGGCCATTCTTAACCTGAAACCGTTCTTAACCTGAGGTACCACTTTAGCTAATGGGGCCTCCCGCTGCCTCCGTGCGATTTCTGTTCTCATCCTGAAGTACAGTTCTTCTTTTTTTTATTAAATTTTTTATTACATTTTCCAACATACATTTATAGTATCCACTCTAAATTTATCACATATTTTCTCTTTTAGACTTCCTTCAACCTCTCTGACAATCATCCATTATTCAAATTTTTAAATACGCATTTCCTAATTTTATATTGCATTTTATAAACCTTCACACACTTAGTTTTCATCAATACAATAGTCCTCTATCATTTACAGAACTTCTTGAAATCCCACTAGCGTTATTTGCTCATCACATACACATTTCAGATAGTCTGAAAATTTTCCCCAGTCTTCAATGAACTTTTGATCTCGTCTATATCTGATCTTTCCTGTTAGTTTGTCCAGTTCAGCATACTCCATCAGTTTCATTCTCCATTCTTCGAGCATCGGCAGTTGTTCCTGTTTCCATTTTTGGGCCAATAATATTCTCGCTGCTGTTACTGCATATTGGAAAAGTTTACAGTCCATTCTATTTATTTCATTTCCTACTATTCCTAGAAGAAAAGCCTCTGGTTTCTTAACAAACGTATATTTCAACATCTTTTTCATCTCATTATATATCCTTTCCCAGAAGCCCTTCACCTTCTTACAGTCCCACCACATATGATAAAATGTTCCTTCTTTTTCTTTACATTCATCCTGAAGTAAAGTTCTTAACCCGAGGTACTATTTCTGGGTTAGTGGAGTCTGTAACCTGAAGCATCTGTAACCTGAAGCGTCTGTAACCCGAGGTACCACTGTATGTCTGATTGAATTCAATGGGGCTTGCTCTCACGTAAATGGAGGGTGGTGGTGGTTTTGACTGCAGCCTTAGATGTGAATCAGTCAATGTGATATAATGTTAGTCCAGGGCAGGTTTCAAGAGCCTTATGCTAGGATGGTGATAGCAGCTTGAGGCTCCCAAGTGAGTTAAATTATGCTCAATGATGTCTGTGTTGGCGAGATTTGCCCCCTTTGCTGTTGCGCCTGTCAGTCTCCATTTTTGCTACCACGGAGGGGGAGAGGTGTTTGTGGGATGTTCTACCTCTGTGCCAAAATAACTTGGCCGGCCTTGGGTGCAATGCAGGCAGCAAATGTCTTTGGCCAGCCCTCCAAAACTCAGATTACACCTGGCTGTGCCCAGCGTGAGGGCTACCTGCAGTGGCGCGCCTCTTAGATATTTTTGCTGCTTTGTAAGCCTTTCTCAAGGGACGCGGGTGGCGCTGTGGGTTAAACCACAGAGCCTAGGACTTGCCGATCAGAAGGTTGGCGGTTCGAATCCCCGTGACGGGGTGAGCTCCCGTTGCTCGGTCCCTGCTCCTGCCAACCTAGCAGTTCGAAAGCACATCAAAGTGCAAGTAGATAAGTAGGTACCGCTCCGGTGGGAAGGTAAACAGTGTTTCCGTGCGCTGCTCTGGTTCGCCAGAAGTGGCTTAGTCATGCTGGCCACATGACCCGGAAGCTGTACGCCGGTTCCCTCGGCCAATAAAGCGAGATGAGCGCCGCAACCCCAGAGTCGGCCACGACTGGACCTAATGGTCAGGGGTCCTTTTACCTTTTACATCTGGCTGGGTTTCCCCAGCCACTATGGGTGGCTTCCAACAGATTATTAAAATACAATAATCTATTAAACATCTATTAAACATCAGGCATCACCCGTGGGTGCCTGTATGAATTGAGAGGAAGTCAGGAATTGATGTGTGAATGTTATAGGGTGCAGCGAGTTGGGCCCAGTAGGGAAGAGGTCAAGGCATTATTTGGGTTTTTTAAACTCAGTTTTATTAAAGGTTTCCAACATATAATACAATAAAAACCAAACAAAGCTAGTATCTAAAGAGAATAATTTTAAAAAAGAAAAGGGATGGGGAAAACAAAGAATGAACCAAAGAAACACGCTCATACAAACACAACATTTTATATTCTGGAAGGAATATTTAAGCGATAGCTCGGATGGTGGTGGGAAGTAGGGGGATGAGAGGTGGGGAAATATTGTTAAAAAGTTGTAGTCATAGGTATATCAGTACTCAAATCTGAAATGTTAAATTGTGTTATTAGGGTCTTTGTGGTTTTTGTTGTATGTGTTTTTTGTGGTTGTTGTTATTATTGAAAAAACGATTAAATAAATTAAAATTTAAAAAACCCTATTTAAAAAAAATAAAAATAAAATAAACATTTTATATTCTCTCAAACTTCTACCTTAATCTTCAATTCACAAACAAAGATCCCACCTGGGACAGCTCCCATCTTTCTTAGCCTCATACCCTGAGAAAACCCACTCTATTCTGTCTCTGCATTATCTGGTCTTTGCTTTAGGCAGCAAAATGTATTGATCAGGCGCTGGTAAGATCTGCTAACATATGCAATGAGTGGGGACAGGGAGAAATTTGATTCACTTCCTAACTCACGCTTTCTGAAAAAATAGGTGAGCTTTTCCTGATTTCGCAGTTCCCCAGCCAAGTAAAGGTAAAGGGACCCCTGACCATTAGGTCCACTCGTGAGGTGCGCCTTTCCTAATGAGACCTCCTGCTGCCGCCGTGGTGCGGTGGCACAATTTCCATTTTCATCCAGGGGCAAAGTTCGCAACCCCAGGTACTAGTTCCGGATTAGGGGAGTTTGTAACTCGAAGTGTTTGTAACCCGAGATACCACTGTATATATATGTATATAGATTGCTATTTTTCTAGAAAAAGAGGTGCCACAATTCACCACGTACATCTCCTTCGTTCTCTTAGAATGGCAATGGCGCCCACCTGAGAGGTGCCGGAACTGAGTTCTGGCAAGTTCTGGCTGAAAAAGCACCCCACATATATATGGGTAAAAAGGCAAAAGTAAAGGACCCCTGACCATTAAGACTCTGGGGTTGTGGTGCTCATCTCGCTTTCCTGGCTGAGGGAGCCGATGTTTGTCCACAGACAGTTTTTCCGTGTCATGTGGCCAGCACGACTAAGCCGCTTCCCGCGAACCAGAGCAGCGCACAGAAACGCTGTTTACCTTCCCACTGGAGCGGTACCTATTTATCTACTTGCACTTTGACGTGCTTTTGAACTGCTAGGTTGGCAGGAGCAGGGACCAAGCAACGGGAGCTCACCCCATCGCGGGGATTCAAACCGCCGACCTTCTGATCGGCCAGCCCTAGGCTCTGTGGTTTAAACCACAGCACCACCTGCGTCCCCATATATATACAGTGGTACCTCTGGATGCGAACGGGATCCGTTCTGGAGCCCTGTTTGCATCCTAAGCAGAACACAACCCGCGTCTGTGCATCTGCACGTGCGCGGGTTGCGATTCGCCGCTTCTGCGCATGCGTGTGATGTCATTTTGAGTGTCTGCGCATGCGCGAGCGACGAAACCTGGAAGTAACCCATTCCGTTACTTCCAGGTCCCTGCAGAGCACAACCTGAAAACGCTCAACCTGAAGCAACTTTAACCCGAGGTAAACTGTGCCAAAAGAAAGATTGTGAAGATAAGAAATATTTAGGGTGGGTGCCAAATTTGTTCCTTGCTCTGGGCTCAACATTACCAAAGACCACTCTTGCACATACAGTGGTACCTCGGGTTAAGTACTTAATTCGTTCTGGAAGTCCGTTCTTAACCTGAAACTGTTCTTAACCTGAAGCACCACTTTAGCTAATGGGGCCTCCTGCTGCCGCCGCGCCGCCGGAGCCCGATTTCTGTTCTTATCCTGAAGCAAAGTTCTTAACCTGAAGCACTATTTCTGGGTTAGTGGAGTGTGTAACCTGAAGCATATGTAACCTGAAGCGTATGTAACCTGAGGTACCACTGTATAGGGCAAAACTGCATACAATCTTGTTTACAAACAGGCAAAATTAGCACCCAGAAACCCTAGTGCATTTTCACGAGGGATTTAAAAATACAGTGGTACCTCGGGTTACATACGCTTCAGGTTACAGACTCCACTACCAAAGAAATATTACCTCAGGTTAAGAACTTTGCTTCAGGATGAGAACAGAAATCGTGCGGTGGCGGCACAGCAGCAGCAGCAGCAGCAGCAGCAGCAGCAGCGGGAGGCCTCGTTAGCTAAAGTGGTGCTTCAGGTTAAGAACAGGACCTCCAGAACGAATTAAGTTCTTAACCCGAGGTACCACTGTAAAGATATAAACACGATGTGCAAATGTGGCGAACTCAACTGACAACTGGGCAAATGAGAAAGGGAGAGAAAGCCAAAAACGACATATTTGCCCAACTTGAGTGATGAGGAGGCAGTTCTGCCTTACATCATTGGCTAGTGGGGACGGGGGAAGCGTACGGCATGATGTCACGTTGATCAGCACAGGGAAGACGGAGCCAAGAGACATGGAATGTGCCTTGTGTACTGTCTAGCATGCAAATCTATGGTATGCAGAGACAAGCCAGCTTATGCAACTGGGATAGCTCAGTCGGTAGAGCATGAGACTCTTAATTTCAGGGTCGTGGGTTTGACCCCCACGTCAGGCAAAAGATTCCTGCTGTAGGGGGCTGGACTAGATGACCCTTGTGGTCCCTTCAAACTCCAAAATTCTATGATTCTATGTGATTGGAAAGGTGTTTCTGCATGGCAGCTTTTCCTCAAGGAGCTGCAAATACTAATACTACTACTTTATTATTTATACCCCACCCATCTGGCTGGGTTTCCCCACCACTCTGAGCAGCTCGCAACAGAATATTAAAAACACCAAACATTAAAAACTTCCCTAAACAGGGCTGCCTTCAGATGTCTTCTAAAAGTCAGATAGTTGTTTATTTCCTTGACATCTGATGGGACGGCGTTCCACAGGGCGGGTGCCACTACCGAGAAGGCCCTCTGCCTGGTTCCCTGTCACCTCACTTCTCGTAGTGAGGGAACCGCCAGAAGGCCCTCGGTGCTGGACCTCAGTGTCCGGGCTGAACGATGGGGGTGGAGACGCTCCTTCAGGTATACTGGGCCAAGGCCATTTAGGGCTTCAAAGGTCACCGCCAACACTTTGAACTGTGCTTGGAAATGTACTGGGAGCCAATGAAGGTCTTTCAGGACCGGTGTTATATGGTCTTGGTGGCCGCTCCCAGTCACCAGTCTAGCTGCTGCATTCTGGATTAGTTGTAGTTTCTGGGTCACCTTCAAAGGTAGCCCCACGTAGAGCGCATTGCGGTAGTCCAAGCAGGAGATAACTTGAGCCTGCACCACTCTGGCAAGACAGTCTGCCTTTGCGCTGATGCGTTGCCAGCTGAAATATACTCGGAGTCGAGAGTGGATTTCATGCTCTTTATTCAGCTCATAGTGGTGAGGAGGAATGGAAGTTTCCCCACAATATCTGCTTTATATACATTATTTACACAATGGGCTGCATGTGATTGGCTAATTCCAGGATTCTCCTGTAGGCCAATCAGGTTGTGGATTCACTTCCACCTGGAGCTGGATTGGGTGGCTCCTGCGGACCAATCATACTGCTGCATTGTTCTAGGACCAATCAGACTGCTGCATTTTGGATCCTATTCAACTCAGTACATAACACCAACTTAGAGTCTCCTGGCAGAACGCAGTGCCACTAGGCAGCAGTCTGGACAGCTGGTTGGTTAGAGCATGGTGCTGATAGTGGCAAGGTTGCAGGTTCGATCCCCCTATGGGAGGGCTGCATCTTCCTGCATTGGCAGGGGGTTGGACTAGATGATCGCCAGGGTCCCTTCCAACTCTATGATTCTAACTGCAATGCTTCTGCTAAAGGTAGGCGTGCCTGGAAGCAGACGGCCCCAGGTTCCCCCTTCACCACCCATTCTTCTTTCCGGAGACCTGTGCTATCTTGCTGCCCCGCCTTCCACATCCTGCTGAGTCAGAAATGCCATAATGGAAAATGAAGGCATGACCCTACATCTAGGGTGGAGAACCTGCATCCCTTCAGGAGCTGATGGGCTACAACTCCCAACCCCTCTGGCTGCGGCTGGTGGGAATTGGAGCCCCAAACAGGTTCCCTGGCACCCTTGTGAATGTAGCCTGCTGCAGGCTTGTAAATGGTCGTTCCGATGTTCATCTTCTCTCCTGATTATTCTGGTTTATAAGAACTGGCTTCCAGATAAGTAGGAAGAACGCCCTTACAAAATTACCCAACTCCTTAATGATGGCCACAAATGATTACAATGGGCAAATGGGCTGCTAAAATAATATTTTTAAATGTTTTTGGGCCATTATTTCCAAGGCTGGCTGAATGCCACTAGAGGCCAAGGAACCAACCCATGTAAACCAGTCTGCTAAGCTCACTGAGGGACAAATAAGAACAGCTTTGCATTGAGAAACTGATTTGCGCCAGTTGTGCAAGTACTGTTTGTTCTCCCACTTCAGGGAAATTACTCTAACGAAATCACACCGCTATGTGTGAGAGAGTCAAAGGAGGTTTAGTCCTGCAGAACCATTTTATTGCCACCTGGATTATAGGCTCCCAAGATGTTAAGGCGCCTTTTTTATTTTTTTTAAAAAAAGTAATATCTAAATAAACTTAATCTTCTGAATTTAACGTGCTTAGAAACCATCTGTCACTTAAGGAAGCCTTGAACAAACGCAAATTCCTTTCTGCCCTGTCGTTTGCCAGAACTAGATTTTTGTACCAGTTCTTGAAATCTGTAAACCGCACTGGAACAAAGCTTGAAGACACACATAATGACCGCACAAATCCTAGAGGTGGTTCATTTCCTTCCCTCCTGCAAGCACTGCATCAGCAAAGAAACCCGTTAATAATTTTTTGTTTGGTCTTGCCACTGTCGTTGGCATGTTTGCTTTGCCTCCTTGGAAATCCTGTTCTTTGCTGGGAACACCTGATATTGCTGTTGCTCTGATGATGTCAGCAAGCTCGAAAGAATTTTGCCTCGGCGCTAGGAATTGTTCCCCAGTGGGGTTCCTTGTCCCTTTTGAGTTTCTGCCCAGAACAAAACCTATTGTATTCACTTTCTTTAAAATATTTAACCCCCCCTGCACACACTTCTATTTTGTACCTGAGATACATTCCTTCGAGAGCTGAAATATGCATGCTGTTTCAATGCAAACAAAGCAAAGGTTATAGATTTCTTCTTACTAAATATGATGATTCACAGAATGGGAATGTCGAAGGGGGAAGCGTGATGAAATATTCGTTGTCTGGCTAGGTTGCAAACCAGATGATGCATTTTGATCTGTACGAGTGAGCGCTTGAATTCTTTCATTCAATTCTTTCATTCAAACTGCGCTAGATTGCTCCAGCTCATGTTCGTCTTCTCTGTTCTTGCTCTGATGTCACAGCAGCCTCTAGTGGAAGGACTGAGGGCTGGTTTCTCTTTCCAGTCTCTTTTCTGGTATGAGCTGATAACGGGAAATGTCTTGAGCTGCCAAGATACAGCACCATTTCCCAGAACTGTCCTTAATTCGCACACGTTTGTACCGTCGTACCTTGGCTCCTGAATGCCTTGGGACTCAGACGCTTTGGCTCCCAAATGCCGCAAACCCAGAAATGAGTGTTCCGGTTTGCAAACGTTCCTTGGAACCCGAACGTCCGACGGGGCTTCCGTGGCTTCTGATTGGCTGCAGGAGCTTCCTGCAGCCAATCAGAAGCCACTCTTTGGTTTCTGAACATTTTGGAAGTCGAACGGACTTCCGGAACGGATTCTGTTCGACTTCCAAGGTACGACTGCATTAAGAGCCATCGGTTGTCGAGAATAACTTGCATAGATGTAAGTTGGAGTTCTATATAACATTTCCTTAGGAATTCCCCTACAACACAAATTAAATGTCAGCGCAATCTGCCGGGGATGGGCAGGGCGCTAACGGTGTGCACTGGGGGAAGTAGGTCTGGAGTTTGACTTGGGAGAGAGGGTCAGAGATTTGTGGGGGGCTGTTTTGGCCAGGAGACAAGAGTTCGAGGCAAGGGAAGCTGCAGAACTGGAGGGGGGAGGAAAAGGTAGGTCAGGCAAGGGAAGGGAAGGGCCAGGTGCTTCCCCACCCTCTCCTGCACCAGTGTCTCACAGTACCAGGAGGGGAGTGAAAAGGGAGGAGCAGAGGACGTCGCCACACAGGCATAGTCTCCGGCTGCATGCACCCAGTCCGGTAGCGGAAGCTACATAAACTAGTGGAGGGGGAGTGGTCCCCTGTTGCTGCAACTGCTCCATAGAGCTCAGACCTGGGACTAGCTGCCTAGATGCTAGATTGGTGCGCGTAGGTCTCCAGAACTCCAGAACAAACACCAGCAGAAGCGACCAAGTGTTACCTTTGACGATAAGTACTTAGCTATGTGCTGTATGCATTCCTCTGGCAGGAAATCACTCGACACAATCCTTTACATGCCTGCTCAGAACAGAAGTAAGAGTGTGAGCCTAAAGCCACTTCCGACCTCGGGAGGAGGTGGTGTTGCAGGCTTCACGCCCCCAACACTCGCTATGGACTTGCTATGGACTTCGGTTGGTCGCCGTTAAGGGGCCTGGTAGGAATTTTCCCACTTGGCAAATTGGCACCAGCCATTTGGGTTTTTTGCCTACCTCGTAGCTTCCACTGTTTGGCGGTCAGGCATTGGTTGGGGTATTGTTATATAGATGAATGGGGGGAGGAGCGCCATCACCTCCCCCGGTTGCGAAGGGTAGTCCGGTAAAGGACTCCAGGGGACGGGGCCCCGTCCGAAGCCTATGGAGGCCAGGGCCCAAGGCACGCCCCCGAGTGGTGACCCCCGGGGGAGTGCTTAGTTGATGTGCATCAGCAGGGCTCCCCCTGCTCGTGTTAACCCTTCCCATCCTCTCAGGCAGACAGTCTGAAGCCGGATAGTTGATTAGGACCAATGCCTAAGCCAATACCGCTCATCACCAATAACCAATAAAGTTGTGGCCAATTTTAGCCCATTAACCTTAATTATCGTGTCTCGTGTCTTTATTTCTACTGGTGGGAGGCGGGAACACGCCACGCAACCCTGCCTGCTCAGTCCTATTGAGTGAAGAGCTGCTTATTCCCAGGTTAAGTGGGTTTAGGATTTGCAGATTTATGCCTGATTCAGTTCAATGGGGCTTATCTCAGATGCACAGGGCAAAGGATTGCAGGCCATGTCACGTATAAGAATATAAGGGGCCGGATGATAGGGAACAGTCTCTCTTGTTTGACTCCCTTAATGCCTGGGCCTCCATAATTTGGTTCTCTCCCTACCCACCCAGTCACTGTTTCAGTGTTTCCATAGGGAGGGAACTTTTCTACCGTATCATCTCTCCCCACTCTCCCCATGGAGCCTCTTTAATTCCCATGACTTTCAGCACCAGCAATACGCACATGCAGTCTGACCTGTTTGCCCCAGAACTTCCTCTGGTCCTTCTGCTTGGATGGCGGCTAACAGATTGAGGTTGAATCCTGACAAGACAGAAGTACTGTTTTTGGGGGACAGGAGGCGGGCGGGTATGGAGGACTCCCTGGTCCTGAATGGGGTAACTGTGCCCCTGAAGGACCAGGTGCGCAGCCTGGGAGTCATTCTGGACTCACAGCTGTCCATGGAGGCGCAGGTCAATTCTGTGTCCAGGGCAGCTGTTTATCAGCTCCATCTGGTACGCAGGCTGAGACCCTACCTGTCCGCGGACTGTCTCACCAGAGTGGTGCATGCTCTAGTTATCTCCCACTTGGACTACTGCAATGCGCTCTACCTGGGGCTACCTTTGAAGGTGACCCGGAAACTACAACTAATCCAGAATGCGGCAGCTAGACTGGTGACTGGGAGTGGCCACCAAGACCACATAACACCGGTCTTGAAAGACCTACATTGGCTCCCAGTATGTTTCTGAGCACAATTCAAAGTGTTGGTGCTGACCTTTAAAGCCCTAAACGGCCTTGGTCCAGTATATCTGAAGGAGCGTCTCCACCTCCATCGTTCTGCCCGGACACTGAGGTCCAGCTCCGAGGGCCTTCTGGTGGTTCCCTCACTGCGAGAGGCCAAGTTACAGGGAACCAGGCAGAGGGCCTTCTTGGTAGTGGCGCCTGCCCTGTGGAACGCCCTCCCATCAGATGTCAAAGTGATAAACAACTACCTGACATTCAGAAGACATCTGAAGGCAGCCCTGTTCAGGGAAGTTTTTAATATGTGACATTTTAGTGTATTTTTAATCTTTGTTGGAAGCCTCCCAGAGTGGCTGGGGAAACCCAGCCAGATGGGCGGGGTACAAATAATAAATTATTATTATTATTATTATTATTATTATTATTATTACTTGGATGCTCCAAAATCTCCATCACCATATCCCGGTACATCTCCACTTTCACACCTCCAACTCCATCGCTCTCTGATGTCCAAAGGTCTTCTGAGATTCCACTTCCCATATGAACCTACACAGACCCTTAGATCTTCTGAGGCCCTTCTCCATGTCCCCTGCCCCACCCAAGGGGGACTTGGAGGGTCTTTCGAATCTTCTCATAGTGTGGTCATAGTGTGGTCTGCCTGGCACCGTACCTAGTAAAGGTAAAGGAAACGCCGTTTACCTTCCCGCTGGAGCTGTACCTATTTATCTACTTGCCCTTTGACGTGCTTTTGAACTGCTAGATTGGCAGGAGCAGGGACTGAGCAACGGGAGCTCACCCTGTCACGGGGATCGGCAAGTCCTAGGCTCTGTGGTTTAACCCACAGCGCTACCTGCGTCCCTGGCACCGTACCTACAAACCTAGTAATGTTGAATGGCAGATTTTTGGTACTGGCCTTTTGCATTTTTGTGCTGCAAGCCTTTTTGTAACAGGTGACAAATCAGTCCGACGCATATTTTTATTCATTATGGTGATGATTATTCCTGGGAACTGCTGCCCAGAATACCTGTGCAACGCCATCTCCCTCTTACTTCCTTCAGATTCAGAGTGCTATGCTATATTTGATCGCTGTATTCGGGGCCAGGAAGGATTTCTTTTCCTGCAGGAAAAACTGACTGGTGTGCAAGTTTTTGCCTACTTCATAGCAATCGTCACAGCTTTTGGCAGAGAAGGCATTGGGTGGGATCCTAAGCTGCCTGGGTACCCCATTAAAGCGGTCAAGAAAGGGGTGTTTCTGTCTGTGTGTCCACATGGCAGCTGATGGGTCATAACAAACTTCCCAGTTGCGCCCCTGGTGGGATTGTAAACCTGGTGCATGTCTGGGTCGACCCCCCTCCCCGCACCCTACTTTGGATTTGATATCCAGCTTTATCACTACCCTAAGGAGTCTCAAGATGGGAAGCGGGTGGCGCTGTGGGTCAAACCACGGAGCCTAGGACTTGCCGATCAGAAGGTCGGCAGTTTGAATCCCTGCATAACTGAGTTCAAGATGTGACCTTCATTGGCCTTCCACCCATATACCATAGATGGTCTCTCTTGGAATGCATGAGAACAATTGCAAACTGTGCCATTTCCTCTATTTCCTAGCAGGTGCAGGATAGAAGACAAGGTATTGCACAGAATTCACACTTGAAGCCTGCTATGACAGCCCTACCCAGAGAGCAAAGTCTATGAGTTGCATTCCAAGACTGAGCCTTCATGTGACCCAGTCTTGGATTTATGTATAAGCTAAACAAGCTATGGGGACGCGGGTGGAGCTGTGGGTTAAACCACAGAGCCTAGGACTTGCTGATCAGAAGGTCAGCGGTTCAAATCCCTGCGATGGGGTCAGCTCCCGTTGCTCGGTCCCTGCTCCTGCCAACCTAGCAGTTCAAAAGCACGTCAAAGTGCAAGTAGATAAATAGGTACCGCTCCGGCGGGAAGGTAAACGGCGTTTCCGTGCGCTGCTCTGGTTCGTCAAAAGCGGCTTACTCATGCTGGCCACATGACCCAGAAGCTGTACGCCAGCTCCCTCGGCCAATAAAGCAAGATGAGCACCGCAACCCCAGAGTCGGTCATGACTGGACCTAATGGTCAGGGATCCCTTTACCTTTACCTTTTAAGGAGTGTCAAAGCGGCTAACATTCTCCTTTCCTTTTCTCCCCCACAACAAACACTCTGAGGTGAGTGAGGCTGAGATACTTCAGAGAAGTGTGACTAGCCCAAGGTTACCCAGCAGCTGCATGTGGAGGAGCGGGGAAGCGAACCCAGTTCACCAGATTACAAGACTACCGCTCTTAACCACTACACCACACTGGCTCTCAACCAGCTTATCAACCAGCAGTCAAACATACCCAGGGCCTTGGCCAAAGCCTACACACATCTGTAAGCAATATAAGTTGTGGCCTATCTCAACCCTATACCAATGTCCTGAGTCTTATTCCCGACTGGCCCCTCACCAGGCTGCGAGCATAATGCTCCTGGGAATGCGAACGCACGCTCTAACATCGAGGTCTGGGCCTTCCTCCTCCTCCTTGCAGTAGTGCATTGAAGAGGAAGCTTGGCCGCGGGGAGCAAGATGTCTTCCAAGGAAACCTCTCTGCCATTATTGGTTGAGAAAACCAGGCCTGCTTTCAAGGAAGCCCAGAGTTGCCTGAACCAGAGTGTAAGAACCACGGCACGAGTCAGTTAGAATGAATGGAAAGATTTAATCCTCAAACGAGTGTAGAGTTTCTTCAAGCGAACAGGATAGACATGAAAAAAATTATGTCTTTCTGAAGTGGGTCACATACAAGCAGTGAGAAGATTACATTCTTTTATATATTATATATAAGTATTTACACACAAAGGAACGCAAGACATCATGGCGTTACATTATCAAACATTGCACAGAAATAAGATAAAAAAATACAATACCAATAAAAACATTATTCATATATATAAAAAAACAGAGTTTTTGACCTGCACGTGTATTTTGATCCGCATCACTTTGAAATTTTGCTTTGGAACATAAATATTATTAATAAAATATTTAATAATAATATTAAATAAATGCCTTCTGGGATTCCCCGGATTCAGACATGAAGCAGCTTATTGTCTTTTTCAGTCTCTGTAGAAACTTCTTTATAGTTACTGCTTGCAGCAAGTCTCCTGCTTTTGTTCTGGTACCTGCAAAGATTAACGGGGAAGGGAGCGTCTTTAGAAAGTCAAAATACACTACAGGCAACCAGCTCCACCATGAAGTCCACTGAAATTACTGTTCTTCCAAGGCATCTTCCTTCAAGGCGCATCTGCCCAGTGTCCCAGTCCACTGGCCTTCTGACTTAATTTGGGGACACTGGAGCACGCAATATCTGCTGCTATTTTTAACAGAGATACACACAAACACACAAACACACACACACACACGGGCTTGTCCACACTTCTGATTGTTCTGTGCGTAGAAAGGAAGGGTCGGAGAGGTTTTCTGTTTGCCTCATGCTTCCGAGGCATGGGGTTGAGAGTTATTTTGTTTGCCCCACCGCTTTCCCCGGGGAAAACCCCCTGCTTACCGCTGAATTGGAACAAACGTCAACCCTCCGTGTGATAGGAATTTTGAGGTCTTAGATATATATGAAATGTTCATAAGTGTACCAACCAAGCACGTACATAGATCAGCACAGGAAGACTGACCTGGAACCATTTTTTATTCCCAAACTGACCAAATGTTTTCTCTGCAAGGTCAAAGGAAAATGGAAAAGCCTCCCCATTGTCTTTTCCTTCACAAATCCTGTCTTAGGGATATGTCTGTGTTGAATAGGGTGTGAGCCTGTGACATGGCCCAGGAACTAAGTATTTATCATTACAAAAGACTGGCCCGGCTCCCCAGGAAATCCAATCAAGTAACCTGCCAGACAGGAGATAAACAAGGACAGGAGAAAAACAACATTCAAATTTCTGTTTTAGACTGCCTTTTCTGTGATGTAGGTATGATGTATCTGGGGGGTGGTCTTAGGTTACACCCCTTCTGTGATGTATGTATGATGTTTCTAGGGGTGATCTTGATCTACAGGGTGGCAATTTCAAAATGTCTATATAAGGCCTTGCATGCCATTTTTCTGGGTTCCTCCTCCTCTCCTGCGTGTGAGGGGAGCACCCTGTTGCAACAGATCAATAAAGATCAGGCTTACTAGCTGCTTTGCTTCTCAATATTCTCTGGTTGGCCTCTGTTATTTTCTCCTACCGATAGTGAACCTATGTAAGGACTCTATATGGGCTCTTGGATACCCCATAAGGGAAAAAGGGCAGATTTTTGTTTACAACATCCGAAAAACTGATTGACTTTGTTCTGATCCAGCAGAAAACAGGGGGTTTTCCTGGGGGAAGTGCCAGGAAGTGTAGATTAGTGTCGTCGTCCCCGAGGCAGAGCTAGCTGCTCTGGAGCCTGGTGTGGCACACATGCTGTGCACCTGGGGGCGGGGCTAGCCACCCATGGGGGCGGGACAAGTGTCCCAGGGGGGCAGCAATGTCATCCCTCCTCAGGGATGACACCCAGGGCAGGCCGCACTTACAGCACCCCCTTCCTCCGCCAGTGCTCCCCCCTTCCATCCATGGTTATGAAGGTGCATTGCCAGTTGCAAGGTTTCCTTGGGTGCAATGCTTTAACTGAGATATATATATATATATGCATTCTTCTTAATGGCACTTTTCAAAAATAGAGAGGTGCCGGAAACCAGCAGCCTACATAACACACACACAAAAAGTCCAGAAGTCATCTATTAAGTAATGGGCAGCCACAAACCTAAGAGCACCATTCAGCTTGCGAGATAAGATCATTTGGACTCCCAAAATCGGGTGGGGAATTCAAATGGAGGAAATGTCATAAACATCCTCAGGGGAATTTTTACTACGGCCGAGTGCTGTTGAAACACTAGGTATAGAAGTGCCAACTTGTAATTGGTTCCCCGCTCCCCCTTGTTATTTAAACTGACTTTGCTCCAGTGCCTTTAAGGGCCTCTTGACATGCAGAGACTGAGCAGCTGAACTTTCCCCCATAATCTTATCTACATAACAGGAAAGGTTTCGCCTCCTTAGTTTCTGCAGGTTGCCCTGCTGTTAAAGAGGCAGGACTGACTGTCAGGACTGAGACGAAAACATCAGTTCAAGTGCTCAGCTGGTTATGTTTCAAAAGTGCAGAGATGGGCATATGTCTATCGGTTGTTTTCCCACTAAGAAGAAGAAGAAGAATTTGGATTTGATAACCCGCTTTATCACTACCCTAAGGAGTCTCAAAGCGACCAACAATCTCCTTTCCCTTCCTCCCCCACAACAAACACTCTGTGAGGTGAGTGGGGCTGAGAAACTTCAGAGAAGTGTGACTAGCCCAAGAGCACCCAGCAGCTGCATGTGGAGGAACGGGGAAGCGAACCCGGTTCACCAGATTACGAGTCCACGGCTCTTAACCACTACACCACACTGACTAAGGGTAACGGCACATATTACAGAGCAACGAACCCAGGTTTGCCGTGATTTGTACACTCCACACAAAGCTACTGTAACTCCCGGCTCCCAAACAAGTGTTGTCGGCATCTGTCTGTCTTGAGAGAGGGTGGCTCCGGGGCTGAAGTCAAACGGCTGTGTTGGCAGCAGCAAAGTGATCTCCCCAAGGTGTAAGCCTGGACAGCGTGTCTAGAGGTCCTAGGCTGCCCAGACAACAAGACCTCCCCTCTCAGCCTCACCAATGTGCTCCAAAGGAAAGCAGAGCAATACGTTTGGCACCAGCTTGGCTGCAGGAGTTGCTGGAAAGAGGCATACAGACGCCATCCAAGTGTTTTAGAGACTCCACTCCGAAATTGTTTAGGGTTTACTCTTGAGCCTTTTCTTCTCCCGAAGATATCCCACAAGGCAGTGGAGGTTTAGGATCAGAGTTTTCCTTCTCCTAGATGGGCTGCCTTCCCAGCCTCATCTGCCCCTCCTGTCAAGTGTGCCTATTACAATATACATGTTTGCTGCCTTCACGTTAAAGATATACAATTCAAAGTGTTGTTGCTGACCTTTAAAGCCCTAAGCGGCCTCAGTCCAGTATCTCTGAAGGAGCGTCTCCGCCCCCATCATTCTGCCCGGACCCTGAGGTCCAGCGCCGAGGGCCTTCTGGCGGTTCCTTCACTGCGAGAAGCCAAGTTACAGGGAACCAGGCAGAGGGCCTTCTTGGTAGTGGCACCCGCCCTGTGGAACGCCCTCCCACCAGATGTCAAAGAGAAAAACTACTACCAGACTTTTAGAAGACATCTGAAGGCAGCCCTGTTTAGGGAAGCTTTTAATGTTTGATGCATTACTGTATATTAATATTGTGTTGGAAGCCGCCCAGAGTGGCTGGGGAAACCCAGCCAGATGGGCGGGGTATAAATAATAAATTATTATTATTATTATTATTATTATTATTATTATTAGGTGTTTACCAACGTAGTGTTCCCCTGATACAGTGGTACCTCGGGTTTTCGGACGTCTCTGTTGCTGAACGTTTCGGTTTTCGAACGCCGGAAACCCGGAAGTAAATGCTTCCGTTTTCAAACGCGCCTCAGAAGTCAAATGGCTTCCGCTGCGTGTATCTGTTGTTTTTCACAATTTCCTCTATTTGCAGACCGCCCTTTGTGCCTCGGTTTTCGAATGTTTCGGAGGTCAAATGTTCTTCCGGAACAGATTACGTTCGAAAACTGAGGTGCCACTGTAGTATGAACCACAAGTCTTGGCAGCCTCTCCCCAGCACAGCCAATGGTCAGGAATGATGGGAAGTACAACCGCAATTGTATCCTCGAAAGATCTCCTGCGAAATGTCCCAAAGGCCTAGCAATTGCAACACAGCCTAGCTCCGAGTACTTTGGTACTCACAGCTCCGGAATGCCTACAACCGAGAAAAAACAGAGCAGGCGAAGCAGAGGGAGGCTTACCATCTGTAGAAGTAGTAGATAACCACTGCAGCGGTGATGACGAAAAACAGAACCAGAAGAATAGTGAGCGCCAGGTATTCATTGCTCAGGGGCTGCTGGCTTGTCAAAGTGGAATGTCCACACCGGTCGCCGTAATAACCATCTTCACAGCTGTGGGGTGCAGGGAAGAGAAGGAGAGAGACCATATCAGACCCTGTAGTGTATTTGGGTTCTCAGACACAGATTGCAAGCTGGAGAAGCCCCAGAACAGAGGACGCTACCCTGGTTGCTCCTTGAACCCTTAAACTGTCACCCGGGTGCATGTTTACACCTGCTTGCACCAAATCCAGTTGAAGCTGGTTTGTGGGTGAAAGGGTGTTAGGGAATCTGATATGCCTTAGAGCATGTTGCGTTTTGCTTAGCAAGAAACAGTAGTCCTAACTGGGACGTTGTGGTCAGTGCCATTTTTCTAAAAAGAGAGGTGCCAGAACTCGCTGGAACTTGCCTTTTTCTCTTATACAGTGGTACCTCGGGTTAAGAACTTAATTCATTCTGGAGGTCCGTTCTTAACCGGAGGTACCACTTTAGCTAATGGGGCCTCCCGCTGCCGCCATGCGATTTCTGTTCTCATCCTGAAGCAAAGTTCTTAACCCGAGGTACTATTTCTGGGTTAGCGGAGTCTGTAACCTGAAGCATCTGTAACCTGAAGTGTCTGTAACCTGATGTACCACTGTAATGGCAATGGTGCTTTCCAGGTACCACAGAACTACAACTCCCAGCATGGCCAGCCGGTCAGGGATGATGGGAATTATAGTCCCAGCACCTGGAGAGTACCAGCTTTCTCAGCCCTGCTCTGAATCAAGCGCTATGCAAAAATCATGTGTTGTTTTATTATCTTATCCTGCAGCATTCTACTTACGTGCACGAAGGTGTACTCAAAGCCACGAGGTACTTGCAGTGCCCATTAATGCAGTAGTTTTTCAAGTCAGAGCCGCAGTCTGTGGTCTTAACTTCAGCGACACGGGGACTGTGCACTGTTCGAACTATCAGAAAGAAAGAAAGAAAGAAAGAAAGAAAGAAAGAAAGAAAGAAAGGTGTCATTTTATTTGATAAGGGGGTCACTAGTAGCACATCTGCCTTGCAAAGACCCTCCTAGTGTCCCTATTATCCAGGGACAGTCCCAGATTTACAGAAGCCATCCCGGTTCCTGACTTGATTCCAGAATCTCCCCCTTTTCCTTAAAAGGTAAAGATATAGGGACCCCTGACCATTAGGTCCAGTCGTGGCCGACTCTGGGGTTGCGGCGCTCATCTCACTTTATTGGCTGAGGAAGCCGGCGTACAGCTTCCGGGTCAGGTGGCCAGCATGACTAAGCCGCTTCTGGCGAACCAGAGCAGTGCATGGAAACGCTGATTACCTTTCCGCCGGAGTGGTACCTACTTGCACTTTGACGTGCTTTCGAACTGCTAGGTTGGCAGGAGCAGGGATGGAGCAACGGGAGCTCTCCCTGTCGCGGGGATTCGAACCGCCAACCTTCTGATCGGCAAGCCCTAGGCTCAGTGGTTTAGACCACAGCACCACCCGCGTCCCACTATCCCTGTCCAGTCAATGTAAAGGGACCCCTGACGATTAGGTCCAGTCGTGGCCAACTCTGGGGTTGCGGTGCTCATTTCGCTTTATTGGCCGAGGGAGCCAGCGTACAGCTTCCAGGTCATGTGGCCAGCATGACCAAGCCGCTTCTGGCGAACCAGAGCAGCGCCCGGAAACGCTGTTTACCTTCCCGCTGGAGCGGTACCTATTTATCTACTTGCACTTTGACGTGCTTTTGAACTGCTAGGTTGGCAGGAGCAGGGACTGAACAATGGGAGCTCACCCCATCACGGGGATTCAAACCGCTGACCTTCTGATCGGCAACCCTAGGCTCTGTGGATTAGACCACAGCACCACCTGCGTCCCTCGCTTTTCCTTAGGACGTTCCTATTTCCATCAGGAAAATGTTGGAAGGTACGGAATAGGACGTCCCTATTCCAAACATTCATTTTAGCCAAACCAGCGGAGACAGAAGCCCACAGGCATTCTGAAAAGGTTTTCGATATTTCATTAAGTGTCAGAGAATCCGACTCACTCAGAACTGTTGTGCAGTTGCCTGTTTCATTCCTTCCGCATAACGGTGTCACAGTTGTCCCAAGAACGGCTTGAAATAGGTGGAAGCCTGAAGAGAAAGAATGTGTCGGGTTGAAACAAAGACACCAGGAGAGGGGTTTCTTGAATTCCCCACCGCATTAAAACAACAACAACAACAGCCATCATTTTACCTTGCAAGTGCTTATGCCATCCGGCTTCAGCCGAAAAAGGTGGCATACGGTAACTAGATCTTCCTTCAACCTGCCTTTAAAATGCCACCGCTATACCCAGCCCTGACTGAGAGCCGATTCACTCCTTGTGTTGCTTGCAGGGCGTGCGTGTAGTGAAAGTGCAAAACAAACATCCCCCAGCCCGTTCCGAGTCCGGCTGAAAACATTTTGCTGCCCGAGGCAGCACGGCAAATGCTCTCCACCACCCATGGTGCAAAATACCCAAGGCTGGCCCAGTTAAAATGCCACAAGCGCTTAAAGATGAGAGTAAAAATACCGTAAAACTAAATTCAAATGTAGCTATTTGCTGCCCAATCAGCTGCCTGAGGCGACTGTTTCAACCGAATGGTAGGGCCGGCTCCATCTTTTTTGAGTCAGCACTCAGGAACCCAGAAAGCTATTGGTCCATCTAGCTCAGTGGTGTCCAAACTTTCTTCAAAGGGGGCCAGATTTGATGAAGTGAAGAAGGGCCGTGAGGGCTGACCAAAGTTGTTAACTTTTTTTTTAGGGTTGAAGTTGTTGAGGTTTTTTTTGGGATTTTACCCCAGGAAATAAACTGACACAGGTGCCGGGTTAAACAGAAACGGACTTTGGACATGCCTGATCTAGTTCATTATCGTCCATACAGACTGGCAACATCTCTCCAATGTTTTAGGCAGGGGCATAGCTGTCAACTTACAGATTTGAAAATAAGGGACCAGCAGCCTCGAAAATAAGGGATCAACAGCCAAAATAAGGGATTTTAGTCAACCAGCAGCCAAACAAAGCCTCAAGCGGTGGTTCCCACAGCGCAGCAACCCGGCAAAGGGGATGCAGCAAGGAAAACCACCGTCACCTCTCCGCTGGGAAGCGCTGAGCAAAGGCAAGTCCCCAGGCAATGTGGCCGATTTGATTGGCACAAGGCATGCAAGCTCCACCTCCCAGTCGTTCTTAGACTCCTTATTGGGTGAGCAATGCAGCCAAGCAACACAGTTGGAGTCTCCCTCCTCCCTGGCTGGCAGGGAGGGAGGGAGAGGAGCTGCTTCCTTTGAAACCCGGGCAATTTAAGGGACATCATCAATAAGGGACAGCAGCGGGAAATGCCGCTGGGATAAGGGAGTTTCCCGCCAAATAAGGGACGGTAGACAGCTATGGGCAGGGGACCATTTGCAACCCGAGGATGCCTGGGACCTTCTGTGTGAAAAGTGGAATTGCTACTACCGAGCTATCGCCCTGCCATCAGGATTACCTGGCATGTGTCCGTTACACCTCCCCAGCAGTTTGCAAACATGCATTTCCATTTCATACTTGTTTGCTGCACATGTGCACAGTTGCTTGTGTCACGTAAAGTGGGACCCACCATTGAAAAACATACTTGGCATGTATCATCGTTAATGCTGATTATATATAATGGGACTTTGTGTAGCAGAATATTTTTGATCACCGTCATTCCTAGGTTGGGAATACACTTCTTGTTTTTCACATAATTCATACTGATAACCGGATGGATGGATAGATATATAGATAGATGATACAGTGGTGCCTCGCAAGACGAAATTAATTCGTTCTGCGAGTTTTTTCGTCTTGCGAATTTTTCGTCTTGCGAAGCACGGTTTCCCATAGTTTTAGGGAACCAAATGGCTGCAAAAGAAGTTTTGGAAAAGCTTCAAAAATCACCAAAGTCTTCAAGCAATGCACCCTGGGTATTAACGGTTTTAAGAAAAAGGAAACAAACTTGCAAGACGTTTTCATCTTGCGAAGCAAGCCCATAGGGAAATTCGTCTTGCGAAGCAACTCAAAAAACGAAGAACTCTTTCGTCTTGCGAGTTTTTCGTCTTGCGAGGCATTCGTCTTGCGAGGTACCACTGTAGATAGATAGATAGATAGATAGATAGATAGATAGATAGATGATAGATAGATAGATATAGATGGTGGATGGATAGATGGATAGATGATATAGATACAGATAATACTTTTTATTTATACCCCGCCCTCCCCAGCCAAGGCCGGGCTCAGGGCGGCTAACAAGCAATAATAAAAACAAATTGAATGAATACAACTTAAAAACAAGATTAAAATACAACATTAAAATATTCAAACATTAAAATATTAAAATGCAGCCTCATCACAGGAGGAGAAAGGAAAAAGAAAGAGGGGGAGGGAATCAAATTGGCTCTAAGCCTAAGGCCAGGTGGAACAACTCTGTCTTACAGGCCCTGCGGAAAGAAATCAGATCCTGCACGGCCCTGGTCTCATGAGGCAGAGCGTTCCACCAGGCTGGAGCCAGAGTTGAGAAGGCCCTGGCTCTGGTTGAAGCTAATCTAACTTCCTTAGGGCCCGGGACCACTAGGGTGTTGCTATTTATGGACCTTGAGGCTCTCCGTGGGGCATACCGTGAGGCGATCCCATAGGTACGAGGGACCTAGGGACCTAAATAGATGATAGATAGATGATAGATAGATAGATAGATAGATAGATGGATAGATAGATGTCCTACAGGATACTTTAGCCATGAGAAAGAAGACCTGACAATTTGCTTTTATGAAAGAAAAGTTTTGTTTGCATTCTTAAAGATTATATGAGCTGCACAGTAATTATTATTTTAAACTGTGAGTCAATGCTGGCATGGTTCAAAAACCATTCAAGACGTAGCAAGGAGATTACACGGAGGCTGAAAAGCGAAGCAAAGGCAGCTGTTAAATGGACAGGGATCTTCCGAGGGAATCCGTGTAATCGCTGGAAACAGTGACTCAGCAGCTGGAATGCTTTTTTGCTGACTCAATGTGAGCCGCCACCCTGCAATTGAATGAGATACAGACACCACACAATACCAACAGTGGCTTGTGTGGGAGGCAATTCATTACAGGGTTACAAATGAGCGCTGCATGGAGTAATCCTTAGGGGACATAAGGGACGTTCAGGGACGCTAGTGTTTCAGACAGATGTGCTGGTGGAAATGTTTTAGGGTAGAGGGGAAATCCAGTGCACTCCTAGGTACAGTATGTGGAAGACAGGACCCTGGGGCAGATTTGCATATGCTAATTCCCAAATAATAAATTAATAAAGAATGTTAAATATAGACCTTTTCCTCTCCACTCGAGCTTAGGGTTCCTCTGTGAGAAAAACAACTAACAAATATGATAAATAATTGTAATAAAAAATAATTTATATGTTTTTTATTTTAAAAATGCAAGTTTTTTTAGGCTGATTTTCAGAGGTGGGAAAACAAATTCTGGTTCTTGCCGTCAGGGCTTAAATTTGTTCTAAGGCCTTCATCTGCCTCAGAGCTCTTCTAATGCATAGGCTAAAACTATACATTTTCATAATTTGCCTCAGGGTAGGTGGCTGGAGTATCACCAGTCCCACAGCTCGTAGTGCCTCGGAGAAAAGAAAGAAAGAAAGAAAGAAAGAAAGAAAGAAAGAAAGAAAGAAAGAAAGAAAGAATTGAGGCCTAATAATGCTTCTGACAGTGGAAGACAGGAGTGCCTGGTGTGCTCTCGTCCATGGGGTCACAAAGAGTCGGACACGACTAAACAACAACAACAACAACAACAACAGCAGCAGCAACAACAACATCAATGCTTCTGAGAGAAATCAGGCCAAGGAGTCATACATTTAAGAGTGCTTAAATTTCAAGGGTTCCTATTCCCCTCACATTGCTACAATTCTCAGAGTAGTTTAACAATCAATTCCTCTCCATAGGGAACTCTGGGAATTGTAGCTTTCAGAGGGGAATAGGGGCCTTTGACCAAACTGCGGGAGGCAGTGGAAGACAGGAGTGCCTGGCGTGCTCTGGTCCATGGGGTCACAAAGAGTCAGACACAACTAAACGACTAAACAACAACAACAACAACAAAACAACTCTCAGCATCCTTGACAAACTAGAACTCCCAGAATTCTTTGGGGGAAGCCATGACGCCCTAAAGTGGTGTCATAGTGCTTCAAATGCACAGCATGGTGCGAATGTGGCCACAGAAACTGAAGCTCATCCCACTCAAACGACAAGTTCCTTCCTTGGGCAATTGCAACCAGGCAAGCAAGCAATAAATGAAAACTCCCAACTCCAAGGGGTGCTTGCTGCGAAGACTTTGCCATACCGCCCCCCCCTCCATTTCCTGGCTCCAAAACAGAGACATCTTCCTAATCGCCAACTCCATCCCCTGTACGGATAAAGTTATATGTGTTGCAGAACAGAAGCAACAAACTGTTCCTTTAATCAATTCCCCTTTGGGGAGTTTCACATGCTCTCGAGTGCCTCTCAAACAGATTAACCCAAGAACCGAAGAAGGTGGGGCGATGTTTGCATTAATACGGCTGCCTGGGTCATTAAACAAATACTGTTATCTTCTCCTTCACAGGCGAGATGCTGCCTATTTCATATTGCCTTACTGGAATGCTATGGTTATTGTCATTGCCAGGCTGGTGGAATGTTAGTGCGCAATGCACATTCCTGCTTTACAGGAAAGTTAGCATTGCTCTGCGTCGCAAGCCGCCTGCCGACCTGCCCCAGAATGCAAGCCCGGTTCCTCAGAGGTGGAAAATATGCACCTCAAAAGGGATGGATTTTCCACTCTTGTCAAGATCCGGTGACACTCAAAGCCAAGTCTTTGGACAGAGGTTGCATGAAAGGGCCAATGCGCTGGCTGGTTCAGTTCAAACCAGTGTGAGACATAGCTGTCAACTTACAGATTTGAAAATAAGGGACCAGCAGCCTCGAAAATAAGGGATCAGCAGCCAAAATAAGGGATTTTAGTCAACCAGCAGCCAAACGATGCCTCAAGCGGTGGTTCCCACAGCGCAGCAACCCAGCAAGGGGGATGCAGCAAGGAAAACCACCGTCACCTCTCTGCTGGGAAGCGCTGAGCAAAGGCGAGTCCCCAGGCAACGCGGCCAATTTGTTCGGCACAAGGCATGCAAGCTCCACCCCCCAGTCGTTCTTAGACTCCTTATTGGGTGAGCAACGCAGGCAAGCACCACAGTTGGAGCCTCCCTCCTCCCTGGCCGGCAGGGAGGGAGGGAGAGGAGCTGCTTCCTTTGAAACCCGGGAAATTTAAGGGACATCATCAATAAGGGACAGCTGCGGGACAGGGCACTGGGATAAGGGACTTTCCCGCCAAATAAGGGACGGTTGACAGCTATGGTGTGAGATTGGGCCTCATCCCATCGCACTGCCTGCTCTCTTCAGGATCGCTAGATGACAGCAATCTCCTCTCTGCGCTACTCTTAAATCAGAGATGGGGAAACATATGGCTCTCCATTTGTTGTTGGACTCTTGAATTCCCATCAGCCCTAGCCAGCATCCCCAATAGTCAGGGATTATGGGAGTCCAGCAACATTGGTTCCCTCCCCCTGTCTTAAAGACACTGGAGCTTTCACAATATCTAGACCTGGCGTGCAATGTCACTCTGTTGCCTTTGTTCATAGTCCCCCCAATCTTTTTCTTGGGACTCTGTCTCTTCGTCTGCTGCATCTTACCCCATTGCTTTCTCTGTCCCTTTCGTTCAGCCCTCATCTCTCCATTTTTTATTCCTTTATATCTGAAGGAGCGTCTTCACCCCCATCGTTCTGCCCGGACACTGAGGTCCAGCGCTGAGGGCCTTCTGGCGGTTCCCTCACTGCGAGAAGCCAAGTTACAGGGAACCAGGCAGAGGGCCTTCTCGGTAGTGGCACCCTCCCTGTGGAATGCCCTCCCACCAGATGTCAAAGAAAACAACAACTACCAGACTTTTAGAAGACATCTGAAGGCAGCCCTGTTTAGGGAAGCTTTTAGTGTTTGATGTATCACGGTATTTTAATGTTTTGTTGTAAGCCGCCCAGAGTGGCTGAGGAAGCCCAGCCAGATGGGCGGGGTATAAATAATAAATTATTATTATTATTATTATTATTATTATTATTATTATTGCTTTTGAGAACTCCTCTCAACCAGGTTTCCCTCCTTAACCTGCCACAAAAAGTTCCTCCTTCTAAGGGATCTGGGTCAGGTTTTAATCTCAACGAATGACTTTTCCTTCCCTCAATGAAGATGATGGCTCTCCGATTGCTTTTGTTCGTTGAGAAGTTGGGATGTTTGCGGGCAGCACACCAGCTCAAATACTCAGCAAACAAGGCTGCAGTGTATCACAAGGCTAATGAAAGAACAGAGACTCTTATGCTAACAGCCTCCCATACGCAACTTTCTTTGGACAGCATGAGAGAGTGTTCCCTTGTGACTAAGCACTAGGTACGTTTTCAAACAGTAATTGTGACCACAGAAGCCCATAATGGGCTGGATCTGTGACCGGTTTCATTTTAACAACATTTATATACTGCTTTCAGTGGTTTACAAGGGGTGATGACCAAGCCTTATTAACTACCACTGGGGATAGGTGAATTGGAGAAGTTTAGGGGTACTCTCATTTTGACTCAAGAAAATCACCATTTTATAGTTCAAATTGGGGGAAACAAATGTAGTAAATGGACAAAAGTACAAAGATTCACAAAATACTTAGGGGTATGTGTACCCCCCAGAAAAAAGCACTGCTTATTACTATTTAGTCATGTGTGCATGAGCAATATTTGTGATGCAAATTTTACTCATAAACATTTGAACCAAGTCGGTAAAACTACTCTGGGGCAAGTGGCTGTCGAACTGTAGCTGCCATCACATAATCATTCCATTTATTTATTTGTTCCATCCATCCTTCCCCTCCTCCTAAAGCAGCCCAGTTCAGGAAGCAATAAAACAGTAAAATAAAACCTGAAAAACAGTTCCAATGCGGGTGCAGACTGGGAAAGATTATCTACCCAAAAGGCTTGTTGAAAGAGGACGTTCCTCAGACAGAGACGGCGCTTGAGGCTGAGCACGCAGGACATTAGCTACGATCCTTAGGTAGCCTATAACTTCTTGAGAAATATTGCTGTTCAATGCGTATCCACGCCGAAACCAACTTCCATCCAATTCGAAAATGGAAGCTGAGGTGTGGTCATTTAAGAGAGCCATTGCATGCATGGCAGCCTTGTTGAATTTGACTTTGACGCAGGGGAACGTGCATTGGGCGAAGACACCTGTGGCCTTCTGTGATGTGACGATGCACCGCAGGGGAAACGGACCTTGACGCATTTCAACCCACAAATGTGTACATAGCCTTAGAAAAGAACGTAAGCGGGTGCATTGCTCCGTCTTTCCTTTCTGCTCCCAACATAGCTGTCAACCGTCCCTTATTTGGCGGGAAACTCCCTTATCCCAGCGCCCTGTCCCGCAGCTGTCCTTTATTGATGATGTCCCTTAAATTTCCCGGGTTTCAAAGGAAGCAGCTCCTCTCCCTCCCTCCTTGCCGGCCAGGGAGGAGGGAGGCTCCAATTGTGTTGCTTGGCTGCGTTGCTCACCCAATAAGGAGTCTAAGAACGACTGGGGGGTGGAGCTTGCATGCCTTGTGCCTGGCCGCATTGCATGGGGACTCGCCTTTGCTCAGCGCTTCCCAGCAGAGAGGTGACGGCGGTTTTCCTTGCGGCATCCCTTTTGCCAGGTTGCTGCACTGTGGGAACCACCGCTTGAGGCTTTGTTTGGCTTCTGGCTGGGCTTTCTGCCTTTGGCTCAGAAGTTGAACATACCTGTGCTTGGAAAATCCCTTATTTTGGCTGCTGATCCCTTATTTTCAAGGCTGCTGGTCCCTTAGTTTCAAATCTGTAAGCTGACAGCTATGGCTCCAACAACTGACGCTGTCATGTTTACACTTGCAAAGAATTGGTCCAGGGTTGGCCAATGTGGTGCCCATGGGCACACAGGTGCCCACAGAGGACTTCCACTGGATCCACATCCCCACCACTTTAGGTTTTAGGCTTGAAGAAAGCATTCTCTCATAGCCAACTGAATAGACTGTGGTGCGTGCTTGGTTGTGGGGTGTGTTAGCGAGTTTCTCTGGTTCGCAAAGGTTGGAGACCCCTGCATCCCTCTCCTTGGCTGAAGCTTCTGAATGGGTTAAGAAAAAGCATGGCAGCTGAAGTTGTTTGGCAACAGAAGCCAGGAAATAGGATTTAATAGGCCAGAGGCTCACCCACTCTTTGCCAAGAGAGCTTGTTGCATGAGGAGAATGATACACCAAGCGTGGCAGCCCACATTTTATGTATTTACCGTATTTTTCACTCTATAAGACGCACCAGACCATAAGACGCACCTAGTTTTTGGAGGAGGAAAACAAGAAAAAAAAAATTCTGAATCTCAGAAGCCAGAACAGCAAGAGGGATCGCTGCGCAGTGAAAGCAGCAATCCCCCTTGCTGTTCTGGCTTCTAGGATAGCTGCGCAGCCTGCATTCCCTCCATAAGACGCACACACATTTCCCTTTACTTTTTAGGAGGGAAAAAGTGAGTCTTATAGAGCAAAAAATAGAGTACTTGTTTATATCCTGGCTTTCCTTCAGGGAGCTCGAGATGGCATACTTGGTTCTCCCTCTCCCCATTTTCTCTTCACAACAACTCTGTGAGGTAGGTTAGGCTGAGAGGCCTTGACTGGCCCAGAGAGGTCACCTGGGAAGTTTCATGGGGACACCCTTGTATTTCCTTCCTTCCTGTATATATTTCGGCTCAGAGATCTGCTGCGCAATGGCTGAAACGCAAGGCGGCTGAGAATTAACTGGCCAGGCATTTAAAAAAACAAAAAAGGGAAAGGAAAAAAAACAGAAACTGAGCAGCTCCTGTTGAAATGAACTTTGCAGATGAAGAAACACCTGCCCTGTAATTAGGAGGTGCAACCGAGTGGCTGAGTTTCCTTGAGAAAAGCTCAGAATCACTAGGCAGAGGGTGGCTGGCAATGCAACTCTGGGCAACACCTGAGCCACCAAACAACTCAATTAACAAATCCCCTGCCAAAAACAAAACGACAACAAAAAAAACCAGAGAGGGAAGAGGTGTAGGCCTACCTATGAAATGTCTGTTCCTGACACATCACCACAACATCCAGCAGAACCGCAACTTCCCCGGCTGAGGTGACACTGAACTGCAGCCAGGTTGCAAAATGGGCTCTGAGCTTCTCTAGTGACGGACCGCGCAATCCCAGGGCATGATAAATCTGTTAGCTTTGCAGGTGCTCCCGGCAAATGTCAGAAACACCTTCATGCCACGGCTTGTTCACAGCATGCTAGCACGGCCAAGAGCTGGCTATTCAAGGAGAGGCTGGCTCGGTTATTTATATATTTTTAATGTCTTTATTGGTTTTTCAAATTGCAATTTTACAGAGAGATATCAAACATAAATCGTTAAAACAAGGTTCCAAGGAGTCTCCTGGACTTCCACCCTCCCCTTTGTGGGTCCTGTTATGTATCATTTCCTTCTGCATCTTTTATGATAGTCCAAATCTTTTACATCTCCCTTGCACCCAGAATTCACCCTTAAAGCGATATTCCAATCCTACTCACGGTTTTCACTCTTTACAATGGTCTTTAAGGTAAGTTATAAATTTCCCCCATTCCTTATTAACATTTTGGTCTTCCTGAGGCTGGCTTGGTTATCGATGGACATTAAAAGGGCAGGCAGGTTTGAACCACGCCGCGATGGGAACCCTGAGCGCATCGCTTCCTTTTCTCCCATATGAGATACAGTGGTACCTCGGGTTACATACACTTCAGGTTACAGACTCCGCTAACCCAGAAATAGTACCTCGGGTTAAGAACTTTGCTTCAGTATGAGAACAGGAACCATGCTCCAGTGGTGCGGCAGCAGCAGGAGGCCCCATTAGCTAAAGTGGCACTTCAAGTTAAGAACAGTTTCAGGTTAAGAACGGACCTCCGGAACGAATTAAGTACTTAACCCGAGGTACCACTGTAATGGTTGACATTCACCCCTATGGAGAAAAGGGGAGCGAGGGAGGATCAGTGCCATTTGCCACGGTGATGGAAAACCCGCCTTGCGCCACAAGCAGGTCACAATGTGCCTTACTGGTCCCCGCTTAGAGAAACCCCCCTAAGGCAGGGGTACCTGTCTGGAAAACCAAGGGCACAGGCGGTTTCTGCATCTCCCATGGGTCCTTACTACAGAGAAGTCCCACCTTCCGGCTTGCACCATCCCTCATAAGTACAGGCACATTGCTAATCAGAGCTAACGACTATGGGCACGATCCGGCAGAAAGTTCTCTTGCATACACCCCTTTGGAATCGCATGTATTAGCAGGAATTCACGTGCATCAGTGCTTCTCCAAACAGGTAGGCCATACAGCGGTTCCTGCAAGTATAGACAGATCTGGGAATTGGAATGCATGAACATTCAGCCGAGAGAGAATTCGATCTTCTACACTCCGTCAAACTTCCCCAAGAGCAGAACACCAAACTTTCAGAGAACGTGAATTGCATTGCAGAATTCAGATATATGAGGCGGACTCCAAACCCCCACCCCTTTGCCCTCCCCCTTTGCTTTATTTATTACCGGAATAATAAAGTTCGGGAGTCAGTTCAGCCTCACAACTTGCTGGGTGTAATTTAAGACTGGGTCATATATACAGGCAACTCTGCGTTTGCGCGGGGGTTGTGATCTGGGTCATTGCAGGCTTGCGTGAAATTGCGTGAAATCAGAAACCGATTGAAAAAGCCTGCAGACACCTCTTTCCACCCCCAGCCATCGTTCTGCCCTTGTAGTGATGTTTCAGTGACATCTTTATGTTGTTTCCAGGTCACTTACATGTTCTGCGTTCACTGTGCGCATGTGCGCACATATCGCTCGCCCCTAAAACAGGAGTTGTCTGTGTGTATGCATATTAGTACTGTACTTGAGTCTGATTTTCTTTTGCATAGTTATTTAGCCTTTCCCCCCTACATCTGTGGAGTCGGTTTTTGTTTTATTTCTTATTTTATCTATTAAATGCGTATGCAGCCCTTCATCCGAAGATCTCAGAGCTGTTCACAGCATAAAAAATACGAGGGGAAAACACAAACCAAAATACATAATAAAAACCAAACCGACCAAACATTGCTGTTAAATGAACTTTTGGGTTTTCTGTTCTTTTTGCAAATGCATGGCTTTCAAAGTACATTTTAACGCTCTATAAACTCCTATTTCCCTAAAGTGTGCATGCACACGAAAGCTCATACCAATAACTAAATTAGTTGGTCTCTAAGGTGCTACTGGAAGGAATTATTTTATTTTATTTTATTTGTTTTGTTTTGTTTCGACTACGGCAGACCAACACGGCTACCTACCTGTAACTAAATCTAACCAATTAAACATGCTAACCTGTGTCTTTCCGCTCACAAAGATTAACGCCGCTGTCAAAGATTAACACCACAGCAATCGTGAAAAAGCAGCCAAAGGTCTTCTACCTTTGGACCAAAATGATCGAGCCTATGAAATCGGTGTGATCTCAGCAAGTCAGATATTTAGAGTAGAAGCTGTGCAGCAAAGAACATTTGTTGGAAGAGGAATGTCACCTTTGTACAACTGTAAGGAACCAGTGACTTGACCCCTGATCATCTGGCACCCTGGATTTCTCTCTCCTGGGCCTGGCAGCAAGGTTCTGTTCCTTCCTCTTTAAATTAGCTACCTCTTCCTCACTTCTGGGGCAGACCCACTGAGAATATTCTAGCAACAGGCTGAAATCCCTGTCCACACTTTGGGAGATTAGTCTTGTTGAAGGCAGTGGGATTTTGGAGTAAGCACACTAAGAGCGTTAGGGATTTCTCTTAACAGTCTTTAGTACTGTTAGCGAGTGGGTTGTTTGTCCGGTTAAGCCGTGTTTGCCCCACCTTGGATGGTGTCACGACTCAAGGATGAGGTTTGCAGCTAGTGGGAGCTCTTTGGCCCAAGCATATTGCCACTTGGAGCTGCGGCTGACACAACCTGCCATCTCCAGGTTGGATTCCTGCCACGCATTGTATGTGGGGCTGCCTTCGAAAACAGTCCCCTCAAAACCCCCCATGGAAACAGAGAGCAGCTGCAGGAGAACATCGCTGCGCCATAACACAACAGTCATCGTGATAAAGCACGAGGGGGGGGGGACCTTTTTCTGTCTGGAGGGCCGCAATCCCTTCAGAATAATCTCCCAAGGGCTACTCGCCAGTGGCGGGCAAAAGCGAGTTGAGCAAGTTTCCCCTTGGGAATTGTAGGCAAACTTCGACACACACACACACACATCTCTGTTCGGATGAGCTAGAGGCATCGCCAAAGTTCAAGGACATATTCCAGTCAGGCAGAAATGTTTGGAGGTGTGAAGCTGAGGCCAGTGATGGTGTGTGTGTGTGTGACCTGGGGAGAGTTTCAAGGGCCAAACAGAAAGGCACTGAGGGCCGCATTAATTCTGTCTTGTAATTCTGACCTGTCAGAGTCTACTGTGTCCTCATCCACCTCACCCTTTATTCCCATGGGGGAGGGGGGAGTCCTACAGCGGATTGCAATCGTTCTGTTGGGGCTGCAGGGATACCAACTTGAATAAAATATTCAAGGCGCCCAGGTAAGCTCCATCCCACATAATTGATCACAAGACACAGCACACACACACACACCATTTGAATGGCAATGTCCATCAACTGAGGGGAAGGGCAGGGACTCCCTCAAATATTTTAGGGGTGTGTGTGAAGGGACCTTGGCCCATAGCTGTCAACTTTTCCCTTTTCTTGCGAGGAATCCTATTCGGAATAAGGGAATTTCCCTTAAAAAAAGGGAAACGTTGACAGCTATGCCTTGGCCCCTAGGAGTTCGCTCCCATGCCAAGCTGTGAGTTTCCCATGCTATCTGCTACAGAATTAGAACATGAGCCCTGCAGGATCAGGCCGGGGGCGCATCCTGCTTTCACAGCCGCCAGACAGATTTCCATTGAGAAGTATCTGCGTTTTCCTTTAGCCAACCACTCTTGGATTTGTAAGATATGCAACCTGTCAGACGCACACCCCAATCATTCCGGTCCAAGAAGCAACACAGCTTGCCAATTTTCTTTTGTCGGGACTTGTGAGCCATGTCGAGAGAAAAAAGGACCGCGGGTAGAAATTCATCAGCAAAAACGTCTTTCTCTCTCCCCAACTCCCATCCCGCCCGCCCTCCACTGCGCTTTTTCGCCGCGATGAGAGACGGGAAGCTTCACCTGCGGAATGACAGCCCTCACCCCACCCCAGCTGTCAAACCCCGACGCGGAAAAGCGAGGGCTTCCTCCTGCAAAGCCGTCGAGAAAGGCAGCGGGAACGCGGAAAGCCTGCGCTTCCTCCTGCAAGCCGTCGAGAAAGCCAGCAGAGACGCGCAGCTCTCCGGCTGAGCTCCCTTCCACGCCAAGCCCGTCGGGGAAACTGGGAGAAAACCGGACGGCCCGACGGCAGAGCCAGATCTCCTTCGACGGCGCGTCCCTTTGGGAAGGAAAGCGCCACCACCCCGCATTCTCCCCCTCTCTGTTTGCTGGACGGCGCAGCTTTGGAGCCAAAGCAGGTCGGGAGCGCACAGACTTACCCAAAAGCAGAAGGGCGCCTTCGACGGTTTGGGAGCTGCAGCTGCTTGCCATTCTGCCGGAGTGTAGCGGGTTGCCGTCGGAAGGTGAAGGATGCGCGGGCGGCTGGGTCGTACAGGCAGGTGGCGCGGAGCTGCTGCGACCGTCCGAAGAGAGACCTCGCCTCCTTTCCTCCCGGCAGGCGTTCCCTCGGGTTTTTATACTTTTCCGCAGTGGGTGCGGACGCGCAGCGGAAGCTGGCCCGAGGCTCATTGCCTCTGAAATTTCCCCGGTGATGAAATCGGAGGCCGGAGGTGGGGGAGCCTCCGTCGCCTACCTGCCTGCCGCGTCTTTCTCGCCACCTGCCAGGGCGCAGCGGACAGAGAATTACGCGCGGCGCTGGGCGCGTTTGCTTCCAGAGGGAGGTACTTAGGCGCGCGGGGAGCCGCGAGAAGGAAGCAAAAACCTCCGCGGTAAAGCTTGCTGGACGGAAGTCGCTCCCGTTCTGCAGAACTACCCTTCTTTTTCCCCCTCAGAAATTTGATTTTACAAATATGAATTAATAACCATACCGAATATATCCATGTAGAGAGATTACTCTGAATCTCGGGACTTCCTCCCATCCCCTCCATGGGTCCGGTTGTCAACATTTCCAACTGCATATTATTTCGTAATCTATATTTTATGTCTCTCCATATTGTCCATAGTATTTGTTACATTGCAAGTGAGATTAAAATCCTGCTAATGTTCTCATTGGACCATAAAGAAGGCTGATGGCCGAAGAATTGATGTTTTTGAATTATGGTGCTGGAGGAGACTCTTGAGAGTCTATCCATTCTGAAGGAAATCAGCCCTGAGTGCTCACTGGAAGGACAGATCCTGAAGCTGAGGCTCCAATACTTTGGCCACCTCATGAGAAGAGAAGACTCCCTGGAAAAGACCCTGATGTTGGGAAAGATGGATGGCACAAGGAGAAGGGGACAACAGAGAATGAGATGGTTGGGCAGTGTTCTCGAAGCTACCAGCATGAGTTTGACCAAACTGCGGGAGGCAGTGGAAGACAGGAGTGCCTGGCGTGCTCTGGTCCATGGGGTCACAAAGAGTCGGACACGACTAAACGACTAAACAACTAATGTTCTCATCTGCTTACAGTGGTCTTCTAAATAAACTATAAACTTTTCCCATTCTTTCTTGAATTTCTTGTCTTCTTGGTCTCTTGAGTTTTCCAGTCAGTTTTGCCATTTCAGCGTAGTCTAACAGCTTAGTTTGCCATTCCTCTCTGGTAAGGTAAAGGTAAAGGTACCCCTGCCTGTACGGGCCAGTCTTGACAGACTCTAGGGTTGTGCGCTCATCTCACTCTAGAGGCCGGGAGCCAGCGCTGTCCGCAGACACTTCCGGGTCACGTGGCCAGCGTGACGAAGCTGCTCTGGCGAACCGGCACCAGAGCAGCACACGAAAACACCGTTTACCTTCCCGTTATAAAGCGGTACCTATTTATCTACTTGCACTTAAGGGTGCTTTCGAAATGCTAGGTGGGCAGGAGCTGGGACCAAACGACGGGAGCTCACCCCGCCGCGGGGATTTGAACCGCCGACCATGCGATCGGCAAGTCCTAGGCGCTGAGGTTTTACCCACAGCGCCACCCGCGTCCTCCTCTCTGGTAGGAACTCTTTATTCTTTCCATCTCTGGGCTGGTAGCATCCTTGCTGCTGTTGTCGCATACATGAAGAGCCTTTTCTCTTCCTTTGGAATATCAGTACCTATAATTCCCAATAGAAAGGCTTCTGGTGTTGTTGTTTTTACAAAAGTTATTTTTTTTAAATTAAAGATTTTCTTGATTTACAAAAGTGTGTGCAATGTATCTCTCTCGTATTTCCCCCCCCCCCCCATGTAACATTTTTACAAGTCAGTTTCATTTGTTGAGACATTGGGAAGAAAAGGGGGAAAGTGGGGGGAGATGAGTGGGGGTACAAACATTTTTAAACATTTTTTTAATTTTTAAACATATTTTAAACATTTCCCCCCAGTTCATTATATATCATTTCCCAGAAAGCCTTTATTACCTTACATGACCACCAGATGTGATATAAGGTACCTTCTTTTTCTTTACCTTTGTACTTGTTTTATATATTTTTTGCTAATTTACTAGGAGTTAAATACCCCCAGTACATCATTTTCACTTAATTTTCTTTCAGCGTACAACGTGCCTTGAATTTCAAATCCGTTTTCCATAACCTTTCCCAATCTGAAATCTGAATAATATGCCCCAAATCCCTTGCCCAGTATATCATTACAGATTTAACCTGTTCATCTTTTGTATGCCACTCCAAGAGCATGCAGAACTAACCTTCTTAGAAGCTGGGGGACCTAGCAATGATCTGAGTGCAAGAGGGCATCAGTTTTTTTCTTTCTTTCTTAATGCCACTTGTCATGGGCATAGCCAGGATTTATGTTAACGAGGGGCAGGCTTTATGGAGGTGGGGGAAGAACCTCAGTTAGTTAAGTATTTTTAGTGATTTCTATAGGTTTACGGCAGGGGTCAGCAAACTTTTTCAGCTGGGGGCCAGTCCACTGTCCCTCAGACCTTGAGGGGGGGGGCAGACTATATTTTGAAGGGAAAAAATGAATTCCTATGCCCCACAAATAACCCAGAAGTGCATTTTAAATAAAAGCATACATTCTACTCATATAAAAACACCAGCCAGGCCCCACAAATAACCCAGAGGTGCATTTTAAATAAAAGGACACATTCTACTCATGTAAAAACACGCTGATTCGCAGACCGTCCGTGGGCAAGACTGAGGTGGCGATTGGGCCGGATCCGGCCCCCGGGCCTTAGTTTGCTTACCCATGGTTTAGGGGGGCACTGGCTGCTAATTCGTTTCCAGGCCAAATTCAAAGTGCTGGTTTTCACCTGTAAAACCTCAAACAGCTCAGGACCACAATACCTCAAGGATTGCCTTTTTGCATATGAAGTGGCCTGGACCCTGCAATCTCCACCTGAGGCCCTTCTTCATAACCCTCCTCCATGAGAGGTCCAGAGGGTGGTAACAAGAAACGGGGCCTTTTCTGTGGTGGCTCCCTGCTTGTGGAATGCTTTCCTCAGGGAGGCTCGCCTGTGGCCTTCATTACATATCTTTAAGTGCGAGGTGAAAATGTTCCTCTTTTCCCAGGCCTTTGGCTTATTAAACAATCTATGACCTCATAAACTGTGCGGGTGGGACGAGGGCGTTGTTTTTAGTTATGCATTTTTGTGTTTTTATACGGCAAACCATCTTGCGATCCTCAAATGAGGGGCAGTATAACATGAAGAAGCTTGCGATTTCGTTTGGCCCCAATTGCCTGTTTCCAGTGTCAACATTCAGCCCCGGCAGATGGGAAAGATCAATGTAAAGCAATGTCTCTGAGCATATGAAGTGTGCATTTCACACACCCCCCCAAACTGAGGAATCACAGCTCCTAACCACAGCACATTATGGGAGTTTAACCCCTGTTTACTACCTCTCCCTTTCTTGCGTGGGGTTTCACCAGCCATGGGAGCGCCCCCAGGTACAAATACATGTAAATAAATAAGACGGCAGGAACTTCTGTATATCCAGAAATGATGAAACGTTTTCACAAGCGTGGTCACAACAGCCTCTGGCTGTTGTTAATGCAATACAGAAAGCAGGAGAGAGAGAAATCAAATCCGCATGGCTTCTTTCATTTAATTTGCAGAGTGGTGAAAATTAATTTGCAGGCTGAGGAAAACTAAGCGTCAATTGTTTGTGCACATTTGCTCAGAAGTAAGTGTCACCATGGGGACGCAGGTGGTGCTCTGGGTTAAACCACAGAGCCTAGGACTTGCCGATCAGAAGGTCGGCGGTTCGAATCCCTGCGACGGGGCGAGCTCCCGTTGCTCGGTCCCTGCTCCTGCCAACCTAGCAGTTTGAAAGCACGTCAAAGTGCAAGTAGATAAATAGGCACTGCTCCGGTGGGAAGGTAAACGGCGTTTCCGTGCGCTGCTCTGGTTTGCCAGAAGCGGCTTAGTCATGCTGGCCACATGTATGCCAGCTCCCTCGGCCAGTAAAGCGAGATGAGCGCCGCAACCCCAGAGTCGGCCACGACTGGACCTAATGGTCAGGGGTCCCTTTACCTTTACCTTTAAGTATCACCATGGTCAGTGGGGACTTGCAAAGCAAGACCAGGCTTCTGAAAACAAGGAAAACCTGATAGTGGATTCAGGCTCACTTAAAAGCAAAACAAAACACAAGATACAAATGTCTTGTTACAGGGGATTAATCTACCATTTAATCTGGCATTATATCAATACGCTAAATGCAGTGCTGTTCCAGTAAGGCTGCAGCCTTTTGCTGCAAGTGAATTGCACTCATTTATGAAGGAATCTAAGCAAGTTTCTATTAACTAACCAATATTTGGAGGAGAAAATCATCTCCACCAAACAGTCTTTCACAGGGCAAAGGGCCCAATGATAAAAGTCAAATGTACGTGCTCAGAGTTGTGAAAGGCTGTCTGAAAATTAATTGTACACCGCTCAGTCTTAAGCCTTTAGCATTTGTGAAATAGTATTCAAAGAGCTTCATCTCTGCTGCCTTGATTTCATCCTTACATCTAAGGAGGGATCAGAATCATTATGCCTATTTTGCAGATGGGATGACTGAGGCCAAGACAGACTTGCTTGCTTAAGACCCCCCTAGTGAGTTCATGGTAGGAGTGAGATTCCTGCTCTGGGTTTCCGAATTCACAGCAGTCTTTATCAGCTATAGTACACCATCTCTCTGTACCCCTGTATTCAATGGGAATTAATCTTCAAAGTCTGTGTAAAATGACAGCCTCGTGCTGTAGATCAGTTGAGGATAAGCCCAGCAAATCAGAGCAGGGTTTACTTCTGAGTAAATATGCATATATTCAAGTCTCTAAGGTATCGGTAGGCAAACTAAGGCCCGGGGGCCGGATCCGGCCCAATTGCCTTCCAAATCCAGCCTGTGGACAGTCCAGGAATCAGCATGTTTTTACATGAGTAGAATGTGCCCTTTTATTTAAACTGCATCTCTGGGTTATTTGTGGGGCCTGCCTGGTGTTTTTACATGAACAGGATGTGTGCTTTTATTTAAAATGCATCTCTGGGTTATTTGTGGGGCATAGGAATTTGTTCATTATTTTTCCAAAATATAGTCCGGCCCCCCACAAGGTCTGAGGGACAGTGGACTGGTCCCCTGCAGCAAAAGTTTGATGACCCCTGCTGTGTCTAAGGCTACCAAAAGATG